GTCCCCTCCCACTCAGCCCCGTTAACACTGTTAGACTCTAGCAGCCACGAGGGTCGAAATGAACACACAACGACCAACAGACTCAAGTAGCATGACGAAAACAATGAATTTTGGAACTATTTTAATCTTCTACGAAGCTGGGAGGGTGGATTATGGTTACGATCAGGAACAACATACCTAACAGTCAGAGCTGACGAAAAATGATTTTGAGAAACTTTTTAATCTTCTACGGAGCTGTGAAAAGTCGTTTTTTATCTCAGGTCCGATCCTAACACTGACAATTGTAATCTATTCTGGGACCGACCCGCCCTCTTCAACACTGATGGAATCCACCCCAGCAGGTTGGGTAGCCGCATGCTAGCGGCTAACATGCAGCACGCTGTTCAGACGTGTCCCTGGCTATTTCAACTCCATTTCCACACACCCCCCTTTTCCAGCAGTGTCATCTCAGGACAACGGCCGTTTCTCAATCACATGTCTTCCGAGTCACTTGCTTCAGAAGCTAGGCAAGAATCCTTCCTGGCATTCGGAAAACGAAGAGTGGAACAGGCTAGCAAGTGTGCAGGTGTGCGTCATATGAGAGGCCCCGCCTTACATTTTCCGCCACAGATTTGGGGAAATTGGTCCGTGCGCAAAGCATTGTGGGGATTTGAAGGACGCGAAGTCTACCCATGTGCAGCCTCAAAATTACCCCCAAACCAAGGAAGCGGCCTCGGTGGAATTCCAAGTATGCTGGAAATTGGAACAGTCCTTCGGCGGCACTTGATGATGTAGTATCCTGAAATATTGGCTTGGAAGCCAGTTTCCTCGAGATTGAGAAACGGCCATCGTTTCCACTGCTAGAAACTTTTCTTCTTCGCTGATGCCGCTGACGCCTGCCATCTCGCTCTCTGGCGCCACCCAACGACCAGAGGCTTGTATGCCAGTGCAGCGACCCATTTCTGTTTTAACCAACATACACAGAAGGTTGGTGACTCAGGTTGGAAAAAGAAAGTCCAAAAGGATCTGTTTGAGTTTGTCGAATTTAACAAAAGTTCCATCAGTTCTATCAGCTCCACGGTCTATCACGGGCAGTCAGATTGATAGTATATCAAACACATTTAAACTGGCTCTATTAAATGTCAGGTCTTTAGCGGGAAAATCATTTTAAATCAATAATTTTATCACCAAGCGCAATCTGGCAGCACAATCTGGATTGTATGTTTTTTTTTACTGTCAGACTATGTATGGAAAACGTTGCCTTCCCCCCTTTTTGAATATTGGCCCTTCAGTCTGAATGATCCTCTCGAGCTCTTTTCGTAAACATCTATAGACCACTAACTACTGGCAAGCTTTTTTGAGGATTTCTTTACCGGAGTTGTTGTTATAGTGTGTATTGACTTTGAGCGTTTTAATCATCGTTGGTGATTTTTAATCTGTTTTATCCATGTTGAACAATCCCCAGGAAAGAGGGGCTAAAGTTTATTGACAATTTTGGACGACGCTTCAGGCTCGTCAAGGCGGTCCGACACACACAAAAAGGGGACACACCTGGACTTATGTACAGAAGGGGTCTGAGAAATCGCTAAGGTTTGTGGTGACTGCTGTAGCACGTCTCCGAACATTCCTGTGTTTCTTTGAGAGCTCTATTACCCGGTCCATACAGTGTAGCTAAGAAAGAGGTAAAACACTAGTACGTCACTTAACTGAAATGCAGAGGAAACCTCTTTGCTCAGATTTTTACTCCCTCAATTGCCGCACTAACTTCTCAGTAAAATGATCAACTTAGCTCATTACTGAGAGTTAGCGTGGGCAATTGAGTGGACGTGAAAAATCTGAGCAAAGGTTTCCTCTGCATTTTCAAGTTAAGTACGTCTAGTGTTTACCTTTCTATAGTAACTGTATGGGACGCGTAATAGAGGCTCTCAAAGAAAACACAGGAATGGTCTGGAGAGTGTACCTCAGTCCACCACAAACTTAGCGAGTGTTCCGACCCTCTTGATACAATTAAGTCCAGGGTGGGCCCTATTGTGTGTCAGGACCTTGACATGCTGAGTCAGTCCAAAATTTGTCAATAACTATTAGCCCTCTTCCTGAGGGATGTCAACATGCGAATAAAACAGATTAAAATCACCAACGATGGATTAAACGCTCAAAGTCAATACCACAGTATACTGACAACAACCGTCGGTAAAAATTCTCAAAAAAGCTGCAGTAGTAGTGGTCTATAGATGTTTAGGAAGAAGAGCTCGAGAGGATCAATTTCAACTGAAGGGCCACATATTCAAAGGAAGCAACGTTTCCAACATAGTCTGACATAAAAAAAAACATAAAATCCAGATTGGCTAGGGTGATACAATCATTAGAATATAAAAGAGTTACCTGCAGATTGCGCTTGGTGATAAAATTATTGATTTAAAATGATTTTCCCGCTAAAGACCTGACATTTAATAGAGCCAGTTTAAATGTGTTTGATATACTATCAATCTGACTGCCCGTGATAGACCGTGGAGCTGATAGAACTGATGGAACTTTTGTTAAATTCGACAAACTCAAACAGATCCTTTTGGACTTTCTTTTT